TATTCAGATATCGTAACATTTTCAAACTTCCGCGTTCCCCCAACCGCTTGCGTCACATTGTCGTGAAATTTGAGCTTTTCGCGGTGAATATTTAATTTATCCAGGCCGAAAAACACTGTTCTTGTTTCTCGGGTGGTCCCTTACAAGTTCCAAAAACAGTGGCCTGTGACCACTCCTGGCAAAACCTCAAAACAGTGAGCTTTGCCTCAATAAAAACACAATAACAATAGACTATAGCACGTTCGTAGTCAAAATAGCTCCCATCCGTCTTAAAACCCGAGACCGTGAGCTTTGTGAACTTAGTGAACCACCAAACTGCACATAAGGCTATTTGTCTCTCGTTACAAAAGCCTGTAGTATGTCATATGGGTGAGGCTTGGGCGCAGGATCCCTGGGCTTTGTTTAAGCAGAATGGCTGCCACGTGCTAAAGTGTGCTAACCTATGACAATACAATCCGCTGGGTACCTCAGCAGTTCTAATTTCAGCTGTGATACATCTTCGGTTTCTCTGAATAAAATGGCATCAAAGCAGTGCCATTGAGCATAGAAGATCTCGAATCCCGGACAGGAACTCACCGGACAAATGCTCACTGGATAGAAGCTCCCCCCCACCTCTTCCCACTTTGTAGATTGAACGCTGGAGAGGAGGCGACCTCCCCTCCACCATTCGCTCCACTAAAGTGGAAAGGGGTGGGAGGAGCTTCCGCTTCGTTCTTCACCTGTCACCGGCTATAGGCTCATCACTCCAACACTGTTATAGTTCTTTCGACGAATATTTTTACGTGAACGGGCCGCTTCGACAAGTTTCCCGTTCGACGAATTCGCCTAGTGCGAATTGTATTATTCGACGAATTGTCCGTCTACCAGTTGTCTGTCGACGCATGGGCTTTTGACGAATGGTCCTAGACCCTGCCTCTTACGGGCTTTTGACGAATGGTCCTTGACCCTGCCTTTTATGCCTAGTTTCGACAGTCATGTTCAGTGCTATTAAAATGACTGCAATGGCAGAGGCGTTGGTTCGCCGTTGAGAAGAAAGTAGCTTCGTGAAGTAATCAGGAGTCATATGGTTGTCCAGGTTGCCTCAATCGACGTTCGCTGCGCTATGCCCGCAACCGACGCAAATGTCTGAACCAGTAGCAAAACCTGCATTCAACAGTGAAATGTGCAAAACAGTATTTTCGTTTCACGCCCCTTGATGTGTTCGCGTTTGAATTTTATCAATTCAAACGTTGCGTTGTGCTTGTTAACAACAGGGGCAAATCCAGAACTCCCTTTTTTTCTGGGGGGGGGGGGGGGGGGGGGGCCGCAAAATTTGTAAGGATACTATTCTCCCATTCTTTCGTGTGCGCACCGGGGGGGTCCACCCATGTCAAATTGCCCTCCTAGATGAGGGAAAAGGGGAGGGGGGAGTAGACTGTCTGGGGGGGGGGGGGGGGGCGGCCGCCCCGTCGCCCCCCCCCCCCCCCACCCCCCCTGGATCCGCCCCTGGTTAACGTGGCCACCAGATGATAAGCAGCTCGCACGGTGCGAGCGGTGCGAGAAAACAATGCTCGCCCACTAAACAACGACACCTAATATTTTTTTTTTTTTGCCAAATGGCGCGAGTTATCGCCCAACGCAATTTACGATTGTTTCCTACATCCCTAGGTCCCTTTTCCCACTCGGTTTCCGTGATTCTACAGGTCTGTCCCCGTGCCTCCCGAGTCTTCTTCTGAACACGACGTACCGCACCGAGCAGCGCATTTTCTTTGTATCATATCCCTATTGGAAAACCCCAATATAAACAGCGTATTATGGATATTGGTAAACAATATCTTTTTATTGTATTGCAATACAATATAGACAGTGTATTGGAAGACATTACATTTATTATATTGTATTACAATAAGGATTCGTTATGGGATTCCAATATCGATAATACGCTGAAAATATTGGAATCCAATACCGTATAAACCCTTATTGGATCCCCATGTGTCGTATGGGGATCCAATTAGGGTTTACGATTCCAATATACTCAGCGTATTATGGATATTTGAATCCAATATATTATTATATCGGCTACCAATAAAACTATATAGGAGTTGGAATATCACGTTCAGCGCAACATTTCTCTGCAACGACGTCTCTTCTTGTGTGTATTTCTGAGTGATAAATTAAAAAAATTGTCAAATTATGAATAAAGAAGCAAAACACTGGGCTTATCCAAACCAAATATATTTATCATATTCCTGAACTGGAGAATCTGGCATTTACTCCAAAAGAAAGTTAATTGTTTAGGACCCTCATTCAAAAACTTGATGTTTGAAAACAGAATGTGAAATCCTTACCTTTTAATGAAAACCGCACCTGCTAGCTGTAGCCATATAGAAACTGCAAAATAAAAATTTGTGATTAGTTCGCTACAAGTAGCAATCCTTCACTAAGCCGGATAGATTCAAAATTATGTGTATTTGATTGCGGAAAAATAAGCTTCAATTCCACTGCCACCGGTCATTCTGAGCTCGGTCAATTAAATATACCTATCCGCTCGCCTGGCTTCACTATTCCTGCTTCACACCTAACTAGAGTATCTGGAATGCTCACCTTTGAGGAAAAACAAACTGGCGCTTGCTTGCTTGTAGGCCGTGGAAACTGGAAGAGAGATTTGCGATTAGTTGCGTTCAAGTAGCAATTGCATTGAGTAGCCCCGTAAAGTACACTAAGTCGGAAAGATTAAAAACATTACATGAACGGGATATAGATAACCTCTTGCGACGTAACTGGGCACACGTCAATGTCGCTCGCGTGTATAATAGAAAAATAAGCTTCAATGCAATAGCCCCCAGTCGTTCTGAGCTCCGTCAACTAAAAATGCTGTAGCGGTCGTCTGGCTTCAGTATTCCTGCTTCGGGAATCTGGATTTCTCACCTCGGAGGAAAAGCAAACTGGGACTGCTGGCTCTTAGGCCGTGGAAACCGCCAGAAAGATTTGCGATTAGTTGCGTCCAAGTACCAATTTCTTTGACCAGCCACCTACAGCACACTAAGCCAGATAAATTCAAAATTACATGTGCGTGACATAATATGCCTCTTGTGACAAAACTGGGCACATGTTTTGTCGCCTACAGCAACACTGCAACATGACAGACAAGCGGTACGGCATATTTAATTGACGAAGCTCAGAACGACTGGGGACGCTTTCACTAAAGCTTGTTTTTCTGCAATACACACGTGTATTGCAGCAAAACAAGCTTAAGTGAAAGCGTCCCCAGTCGTTCTGAGTTCTGTCAATTAAATATGCCGTACCGCTTGTCTGGCTTCAGTATTGCTGCTTCAGAGCAATCTAGAAAATCTAAATCCTCACCTTTGAACAAGAACGAACTGGCGCCTGCTGGCTTGTGGGCCGTGGAAACTGCAAGAGATTTGCGATTAGTTACCTCCAAGTGACAATTTTTTTGAGTAGCCAACTACAGCACATTTAAAATTATATGCACGGGACATAGATGCCTCATGCGACGAAATCCCTTCATCCTTGTTTTCTGTTAACTCTGCTCACCTTCACCACTCGCCTCCAATTTCTGCGCAACTTCTTTAATCTCGATTCCCTGGTTCCCAAAGGCCATGCCATGGCTTGTGCCAGTCACGAGTCTGTCAGCTCTGCAACCGGCGCCATTGTGGCAAAGACGCCACAGCACCTGGCGCTGGATGTGTTCTCTTAAAGGCCGACGACCAGACACGAGATTCTGCAAGGCAGAAGATCCTCCTCCCCCTGGGGGAGGAGGAAACGGGCAACGGTGGACAGGGTAGAAGGGCCGAGAGAAGGAAGCGAGGGAAAAGTGGAAAGCGCAAACTGGTCGTCGGTCTTTAATATTTTGAGCATGGCTCAAAACAGGTGGATGGGTATCTGGTATGCCCTCTGCTTATTTGCGGATCGTTCCGAATCAGAGTGTAGGTGCTTCTGTGATCTGGGCGCATGCTCGGTATTTTACAATAGTTGAAATTGAACTCTGCAGGAATCTTGAAACATAACAAACATAATGTACACGCCGAAAGGCATAGCAAATGAAACACTTACCATCTATCTATTTTCGTTTCTTGTCCGCAAGAAGCTGTCGTATATGTAGCCTCCCTTCCTTAAGCCGCTCCTCCCTAGCCCTGTAATGCCCAGCGTATCATATCTGATACGGCCCATTCAAACATTTTTTGTTTTTATACGAAACGCATTTTTGGAAACCAAATGCCCACTGTATCACCCCAGATACATTTCCCGGGATTTTTCGCAAAATGTAGTTCAAATATACACCACAAGGGGTCCCACAGGCGCCCGCAAGATGGCTTCCTCGAGCGGAAACGCGGCCGGCGTGCCAACACGACCTTTTTACGGACAGTCTGCAAAATCAGGAGGTGAGTTTGCGATATTGATATTCGCTATTTGTTCCTTAAAGCACAGTGAACGATCAGTGCACAGTATTGTTGACTCTACGTTATCAGAAGTTAGTGGCATCGGCGAGCGTAATCGAGTGTATCATATATGATACAATGGGCACTTCTCAGTGTCGCTTCTTGTCGGATACTTTGAATGTCAGATGTTTCAGCTTTGCGTTTTGTTACCTCCTTTACAGATTGCTCTGCACGGGACATTCTCAATCGCATCTGTGCTGGTGATGACTGCAGTGATATCGACCTTTCTGAAGACAGTGACGCGGAGTATTTGACTTCGGAACAACCTCCACCAGATCCCGAAGAAAAGTCGTCAGACGATGAGGGTGAAGAGAGCATGTCAGGCGGGGCGTGCGCTTCATCAACTGTGGATTGCGGACAATGGAAAAAAGAGCTACTTAACGGCAATCCAGGTTTATTCTCGGAAGAGTTTTCCGAACCCGGTGACCTTGATACACCCTTGGGGTTCTTCAGAAAAATCGTCACTGTAGATATGATGGATTCCCTTACTGAGCAAACAAACATCTACAGCACTCAGAAAATGGGGGAGTGTGTGGCCGCAACCAGGGCTGAAGTGGAACAATTTTTGGGAATATACTTGCAGATGGGTTTGGTTCAGATGCCAAATGTACGGTGCTACTGGGAAAGCGGTACACGATACACCCCGATCTGTGATGTCATGTCGAGGAATAGGTTTGAGAGACTAATGCAGTGCATTCATTTTGTCAACAATTGCGACGTTGCCCAGGAAGACAAGAATGACAAGGTATGGAAACTCCGCCCCTGGATTTCAAGCTTGCAATGCAACTTTGCACAGGTCGAGCAAGAGGAGCTGAATTCTGTTGATGAGATTATGGTAGCTTTCACGGGAAGAAGCAATCTAAAGCAGTACCTCCCCAACAAACCAACCCCTTGGGGCTTCAAACTTTGGGGACGTGCCGGAACAACGGGGATCCTATACCAATTTGAGGTGTACCAGGGACAAAGTAAAAAGAAGTATGAACACGGTCTTGGAGGCGGCACAGTCTTACAAATGTGTTCACTTATTCCAGAAAACAAAAACTTCAAAGTTGCAGCGGACAACTTTTTCAGCAGCATTGACTTGGCGGCTGAGCTGCAAAAGAAAGGCATTTATTACGTAGGAACATTGCGTCAAAACCGACTGCAAGACTGCAAACTCATGACCGAGTAGGAGCTCAGAAAAGAAGGAAGAGGTTCTTTCGACTACCGTGTCAACACTGCAAGGTCCATCGCCATTGTGAGATGGTATGACAGTCGCGCTGTTTCACTCGTGTCTAACTACTTGTCTGTCGAACCTGTTGAAACCGTGAGGCGATGTGACAGAAAATAGAAAAAACTTATCGAGATCTCTCGCCCTCACATCGTTGGAGCATACAACAGCTTTATGGGCGGAATCGATCTTCATAATTATCTGGTTTCTTTGTACAAGTACTGCATCAAGTCACGAAGGTGGTACTTGTACATCTTCTACCACACAGTCATGATCGCGGTAGTGAATGCGTGGAATTTGCACAGACGGCACTCTAAGCAACTTCACATGAAGCCGGTGAAGCTTCGCGTGTTCATTGCTGACGTGGCGGACAGTCTGTTGAAGGCAGAGAAAAATGTGAGAGGCAGACCATCATCTCTACCATGCCCCACACCCAAACGAAGGAAACGCGCAGGCGAAAGCAGAACTCCGGAGATTGATGTCCGCAAGGATGGTGTAGGTCACTTTCCTTTGGTGTCTGAGAAGAGGCAGCGATGCAAGAACTGCTCACCTCATGACAAGTTCAGTTTCGTTGCATGCTGCAAGTGTAATGTCTATCTGTGCCTCAACAAAGAACGCAACTGCTTTTACGATTTTCATAAATAGAGTTCGCCTACTGCCCAGTGTATCATATTTGATACATTGAGTATTTTTAAAATCTGAAAATGAAACTCAGATTTTTTTGCATTTCTAATCTGTAAGACCCAGAAGCAGCCAAATAATAAAGTTTCTCAATTTTCGTATGTTGGTTTCACTGTCTGGGCATTACAGGGCTAGTTATAATTATGATGCAATTAAATGCAAAGGTGCAAGCGAGCTGGACAAGAATGACGAAATTAATCCTTGGAGAAGGGGAACAAGAGGGACAAAGGACAAACATAAATCTCCAACCACAGCTAGGTGACTCATGAGCGACCGAAAAAATCCGCCTGGTCCAGGTATCGAACCCGGGACCTCTCCATTACAAGTGGAGCGTTCTACCAACTGAGCTCACCAGGGGTTAGACGTCAGTAGAGCAAACGGGTTTTATCCCTGGAGAAGGGGAACAAGAGGGACAAAGGACAAACATAAATCTCCAGCCACAGCTAGGTGACTGGTGAGCGACCGAAAAAATCCGCCTGGTCCGGGTATCGAACCCGGGACCTCTCCATTACAAGTGGAGCGCTGTACCAACTGAGCTAACCAGGGGTTAGACGTCAGTAGAGCAAACGGGTTTTATCCCTGGAGAAGGGGAACAAGAGGGACAAAGGACAAACATAAATCTCCAACCACAGCTAAGTGACTGGTGAGCGACCGAAAAAATCCGCCTGGTCCGTCTAACCCCTTGTTTGCTCTACTGACGTCTAACCCCTGGTTAGCTCAGTTGGTAGAGCGCTCCACTTGTAATGGAGAGGTCCCGGGTTCGATACCCGAACCAGGCGGATTTTTTCGGTCGCTCACCAGTCACCTAGCTGTGGTTGAAAATTTATGTTTGTCCTTTGTCCCTCTTGCTCCCCTTCTCCAGGGATTAATTTCGTCATTCTTGTCCAGCTCGCTTGCACCTTTGCATTTAATTGCATCATAATTATAACTTTAAATTTGCAAGCTTCACCCTCGTTGGTGTTAGACTGGTGGCAGCTGGTAAAACCCGTTTGCTCTACTGACGTCTAACCCCTGGTTAGCTCAGTTGGTAGAGCGCTCCACTTGTAATGGAGAGCTCCCGGGTTCGATACCCGGACCAGGTGGATTTTTTCGGTCGCTCACCAGTCACCTAGCTGTGGTTGGAGATTTATGTTTGTCCTTTGTCCCTCTTGTTCCCCTTCTCCAGGGATTAATTTTGTCGGCCTCCCTAGTGTCCGGTTGGGTCTCATCCTGATGAATCATCGGTGGAGACCTTAGGTGCGGTCAACATCAGATCAGACCTTTTTGAGACAGAACCATATACTTGCTGAGAGGACTTACACCCAAACAATTCTCAGGCATGTCATTTATAGTGCGTTTTGAAATGAGATGCATGATATAAAATGAGGCGTCAATACTGACGCACCCCTTTTGCGAACCTAAACTTTTGAAGGCCTTGTCCCCCTCGCTAGGCGGACAATCACATGAATCCTGGCATGTGGATGAAACTTTTACCTTAACACCCCGACTCAATGCCCATCCCCGAATATTCGACCACCACACTTTAAGAAAAAAAAAACGATTTTTTTTACAAAACACAGTCATCGACCACTTCGACAAAAGCCTGCACCAAGCATACCCGTACCATGGCTTGTTTGCTCCGTGCCGCCCCCAAGTTAATTCGGGCCAACAATGTTTTTTTTTTTTTTTTTTTTTTTTTTCAAATGGAACCCACATTCTTAGTTTCGGTTTCACTTGTAGAGGCAGGTGGATACTTTTGTAAAGCTTCCTCCTTATGCGCTTCCGAGTCAACATTTTAGCAATGGCCAACCCCCGGGCTTTGATTTTGCGCTCCTTGACAAATGCTGAAACTCATATAGGCGGGCAATAGCTCGCCTTGAAAATACTTGCTCTTGGTGGCCGAGAACAAACACGTGTTCCTGATTGGCAGCCATTTGCTGCGAAGAATACCTGCACATATCCTAAAGAACCCAGTCTTAGTCTAACACAGATGCTTTGGCCGGACAGAGACACAAAAGTCTGACACAAGACCAGTATAAAAACAGGAAATAGAGTGCCTGTGAGGAATGAAACACACAACACAGATAGGCATCAATCACTTACCTTGAAAATACTTTCTCTTGGTGGCCGAGAACAAACACGTGTTCCTGATTGGCAGCCATTTGCTGCGAAGAATACCTGCACATATCCTAAAGAACCCAGTCTTAGTCTAACACCGAAGCTTTGGCCGGACCTGATACAAATCACAAAAAGCAGGAATCGTGCCTGCGAGAGATAAAAACAGACCGAGGTGGAGAGGCTCGTTCTGTTTCACCTTAGTCAAATAGTGTAGCTCATTTTGCTAAAACAATGCATATTTGCTAAAAAAAGTATATATATTTCGCCGCGTTTAGCAGAGTTTACTGCCAAGGGTATTTGCACACCAGAATAAGTGAGACTTAGTAAGTTTTTTTTTTCTTCTTTTGATGAGCGACAACAGAATCCTAAACGGGTGATGAAACAAAATATGAGCCCAGCAAGACAGGCTAGTTGGCCGTGTGCAAGCACAGTGCCTCGGCCGACAAATGAGGTTCTATTCTTGGTCACTTGTCATAATTGGTGGGAATAGTAAAGTGAACGAAAACAAGGCAATATCTCTTGCAGCTGACAGCTGCAAACAAAATTCATATACCTCGATGAATAACCTGGAAATAAAATTGTGTGGTGGCCGAGTGGTTTCAGGTGTCAAATTTCAAACTTACAGACTGTGTAGTTCTGGTTTAAGTCCTTTAAGTCCTCCTATTCTAAATTGTTTTTCTTTTCTCAATTTTTGAGGCACTAGCACATAATTTATATGCCAATTCACCTTTAGAAGCATTTTAATTATACTCGGCGGCTTCCTAGTGCCCGTAATAGATTCTCAGTGAGAGTGGCTTCTAATTGTTTTTTCTTGCTCTCGCTGCTGCTTCCTTCCTCACCCTTAAAAGACTGACAACTCGACACAAAAGTAAAAAAAAAAATGTGTTTCAAATGTGATGAAGATCAGCATTTACAAGTTGTACCCCTCCTTCATGCCCCGACATGCCACCATACCATACCTGAGTGCAGTGACGAATGGTCCCAGGTGCTGTGACCCGGCCATATATGGCCTTACAGTGTGATGCGACTCATGCAGCACCTATGCTTCATGATGGAGATAGTGCGCGAGTTGCGACCTGCTAGAGCTGTGCACTACAGCTTTACAGCCTGCAAAGGGTGGGAAGATGCCCGTCTCTTTGCAGAGCTCGCAATAGCTCACCAAGAAGCTATTGCAAACACTAGGGAGCCACAGAGTGTGAATAAAAGCACTTCTGAATGAGAATTAGTGTGCAAATTATGTGTCTATACGTTAAAACTAAAAAAAGCATATATATGTATATGCACATGTATATATATATATATATATATATATATATATGTATGTGTGTCAGGGATGGGCAAAATACATGCAAATATATTGAAATACAAATACAAAATACTTCGTCAAAAATGTATTTAATTACAAATCTAATTACATTTCCAAAAAAAAATTTAAATGGATATTGAACCAAAGAATTTAGTGTCCATAATAAGTGGCGCACGTTCTTTCCACGAGCCAGCAGCCGCCGGTGTGCGCGAGCACACGCAACGAAAATTACGTCAAAGACCTCCATTCTCGCTTAAGAGGACAGTGAAATGCGTGGGATTCGGGCCAAAGGAGACTAAAGGCAGGCTTATCATCTCTACAAGTGACAGCTACGTGCTTGTTAGACCAACTAATCGCTTACCTGTTACACCAGACATCACTGTGTAGATGAAAAACTTGTCTTTATTCTCTTTTGGCCCGAAGCCCATAGATTTCACTGTCATCTTAAAGGGGAACTCCGGCGATATTTTGAGCAACCCCAACTAACCATATATTCGAAATCGCCGTCCATTACTCTTTTCGGTATGCTATTTAGTATCGCGAAATTCAGAATAGTTTTTGTGAAATCGGCAAATGAAAACGACGCCAAAACGAAGATTCGAATATACCCGCGCTTTTCATTTCCCTGAACGTCACGGTTGGGCTGGATTGCGGTTCGAGCAGGCAGTCTAAATATGAACTATGCCGAGTATTTGTATCGTGCTGCTGCGCGGGGGCTGGAGCGACCTTCCAAAGCATTCATTTGACACCATGAAACTGTTTGTAATCAGATGTCAACGAAGTCTACAGCCCAAAGAGTGAACTCCTACCCAACCATGACGTCACTTTTTCAATGTTGCCCGTAGAGCTTTTCACTTTGAAAAACACGATGAGGTCTCAAATTGTAAATTCTGTAACTGCACGAAAAAACATTATTTTGTCCAAATATTTGGGTTACTAGTTCAGCGGTGTTTGTTGGTGTGTCTAGCAAGCTTTGAGGCAAATCGGGGACTATGAAGAAAACGGCGGAGTACCTCTTTAACCGCGAATGGAGGTCTTTGACGTCATTTTTGTTGCGTGTGCTCACGCACACCGGCTGCTGCTGGCTCGTAGAAAGAATGTGCGCCACTTATTATGGACACTAAATTTTTTGGTTCAGTATCCCTTTAAGTACAAGATACAAATACAACCAAATGTGTTTGGTCTCTTCCAAATACATTCCTCAGAATTAGCGTCAGCGACTTCAGGGCACCTGCAACGGGTTTCTGGGTATCTCATTTTAATTTTGTATCGCACACTTGAGAGTTAGTGTGCGAGGCTCTAGTAATGTTATAGAAATATAATCACAAAAAATGTAATCAGCTTGGACGTAATAGGTTAAAAAAGTACAGAGCTTCAAACACCTTTTTTTTTTGTCGATTACATTTTGTTATAGAGCAACAAAGAACCGAGACGACCAAGACCCGCAGCACTATCTAGAGAATTTTTTATTGTTGCAACTCGCACCAGTTACGAAAATCTGGACAACCTGCGCATTTAGAATGTTCCAGGCAAAAGTATGGATGGAAATCAGGCTGGAAAGCATCACAAGTGGTCACAGGCACTTATTTAGCCAGTCTGTTAGTGAACGTCGATTTCGTCACTATTCTTGCCCTGGACTAGCACCGTAATCATAAAGTCACTAAACGCTTGTGCTTGATTGAGAGACACTGC